CCCCTAGCAGACTCCAGCATGTGATGTTCCCCTTCCTGTGTCCATGTGTTCTCATTGTTCAATACCCACTTATGACTGAGAAGTTACAGTGTTTGGTTTTCTGTTCTTGTGAGTTTTCAGTTTGCTGAGAATGATGGTTTCCAGATTCATCCATGTCCCTGCAAAGGACATGAACTCATCCTTTTTATGGCTGCATAGTATTCCATGGTGTATATGTGCCACATTTTTTTTATCCAGTCTGTCATTGATGGGCATTTGGGTTGGTTCCAAGTCTTTGCTATTGTAAACAGTGCTGCAATGAACATGTGTGTGCATGTGTCTTTATAATAGAACGATTTATAATCCTTTGGGTATATACCCAGTAATGGGATTGCTGGGTCAAATGGTATTTCTATTTCTAGGTCCTTGAGGAATCACCACACTGTTTTCCACAATGGTTGAACTAATTTACACTCCCAACAACAGTGTAAAAGTGTTCCTATTTCTCCACATCCTCTCCAGCATCTGTTGTCTTCAGATTTTTTAATAATCGCCATTCTAACTGGTATGAGATGGTATCTCAATGTGCTTTTGATTTGCATTTCTCTAATGACCAGTGATAATGAACATTTTTTCAGATGTTTGTTGGCCTCATATATGTCTTCCTTTGCAAAGTGTCTGTTCATATCCTTCACCTACTTTTTGATATGGTTGGTTGTTTTTTTCTTGTAAATTTGTTTTAGTTCTTTGTAGATTCTGGATATTAGCCCTTTGTCAGATAGGTAGCTTCCAAAAATTTTTTCCCATTCTGTTGGTTTCAGGTTCACTCTAATGATTATTTCTTTTGCTGGGCAGAAGTTCTTAAGTTTAATTAGATCCCATTTGTCAATTTTGACTTTTGTTGCCATTGCTTTTGGTGTTTTTGTCATGAAGTTCTTGCCTATGCCTACGTCCTGAATGATATTGCCTGGATTTTCTTCTATGGTTTTTATGGTGTTAGGTCTTATCCTTAAATTTTTAATCTATCTGGAGTTAATTTTTGTAGAAGATGTAAGTATGGGATTCAGTTTCAGCTTTCTGCACATGGCTAGCCAGTTTTCCCAACACTATTTATTAAACCGGGAATCCTTTCCCCATTGCTTATTTTTGTCTGGTTTGTCAAAGATCAGATGGTTGTAGGTGTGTAGCATTACTTCCAAGGCCTCTGTTCTGTTCCATTGGTCTATATGTCTGTTTTGGTACCATTACCATGTTGTTTTGATTACTAGAGCCTTGCAGTATATTTTGAAGTCAGGTAGTATAATGCCTCCAGTTTTGTTCTTTTTGCTTAGGATTGTTTTGGCTATGCAGGCTCTTTTTTGGTTCCATATGAAATTTAAGGTGGTTTTTTTCCAGTTCTGTGAAGAAGGTCAATGGTAGCTTTATGAGGACAGCATTGAATATATAAATTACTTTGGGCAGTATGGCCAATTTCACAATATTGATTCTTCCTAACCATGAGCATGGAATGTTTTTCCATCTGTTTGTGTCCTCTCTTATTTCCTTGAGCAGTGGTTTGTAGTTCTCCCTGAAGAGGTCCTTCACGTCCTTTGTTAGTTGCATTCCTAGGTATTTTATTCTCTTTGTAGCAGTTGTGAATGTGAGTTCACTCATGATTTGGCTCTCTGTCTGTTATTGGTGTGTAGGAATACTTGTGATATTTACACATTGATTTTGTATCCTGAGACTTTGCTGAAGTTGCTTATCATCTTGAGATTTTGAGCTGGGACGATAGGATTTTATAAATGTACAATGATGTCATCCGCAAATAAAGACAATTTGACTTCCTCGTTTCCTAATTGAATACCCTTTATTTCTTTCTCTTGCATGATTGCTCTCACTAGAACTTCCAATACTATGTTGAATAGGAATGGTGAGAGAGGGCACCCTTGTCTAGTGCCAGATTTCAAAGGGAATGCTTCCAGTTTTTGCCCATGTAGTATGTTATTGGCTGTGCGTTTGTTGTAAATAGCTTTTATTATTTTGAGATACATTCCATCAATACCTAGTTTATTGAGAGTTTTAAGCATAAAGGGCTGTTGAATTTTGTTGAAGGCCTTCTCTGCATTTATTGAGATAATCATGTGGTTTTTGTCTTTGGTTCTGTTTATGTGATGGATTATGTTTATAAATTTGCGTATGTTGAACCAGCCTTGCATCCCCGGGATGAAGCATACTTGATCGTGATGGATAAGCTTTTTGATGTGCTGTTGCATTCGGTTTGAAGATTTTTGCATCAATGTTCATCATGGATATTGGCCTGAAATTTTCTTTTTTAGTTGTGTTTCTGCCAGGTTTTGGTATCAGGATGATATTGGTGTCGTAAAATGAGTTAGGAAGGATTCCCTCTTTTTGTATTGTTTGGAATATTTTCAGAAGGAATGGTATCAGCTCCTCTTTGTACATCTGGTAAAATTCGGCTGTGAACACATCTCGACGTGGACTTTTTTTTAAAGGTGTTTTTAAAAATGTACTCTTATTCAGCACTTCTATGTGTTGCGTCACAAGAGAGTTTCAGGTTATCCAGTATGCTGCCTTACTAGAAATGGAAACCTAATTTGTTTTTCATATTTAAGTAATATCATTTGTATAATTGGATTGTCAAATAGACATTTGGCTAAAGACTGGATTTCTGCCACGGCAAATGTACTCCATTTCTGTGAAATTTTGGCCAAGCCACATTTTTGTTATGAAATAACATGTTTGATTCTGAGATTTTTACTTGGTACTTAGACAGAATAGCAACATCACCTGCTGATATTATGGACACTTTATGATTTTGTTTAAGATACATTGTTGTTTAGTGTGTTTTGAAAAAGAATAAAAGTTTTTAAGATTTGAAAGCGATCTTACAAAGACTGGGGTAATCTACATTAGATTTCTAACCTTTTCATTAAAAATATATGTGATCTTTCATATGAAAAGAGTAAGATTGTAAGTTTAAAGACTATATACAAGTGTATTTAGATTTCTCCTTTCTAAATTGCAATATATTTAAAGATAGGGATATAGTCTTTCTATTCATAAGTAGTGGTGTAGCAGATTATAAAGGGCACATAGAACATTAGCTCTCAGATTAAATGTTATCTTTTGATAGATACCTTTCAGGATCACTTAGACTAAAGTAAGATAGGTTCTCTGTTAACGTCCCTCATAGAATTTCTAAGTATGTATGCATGCATGTCTTTGTTAACTCACTTATTCCTTATCTTTTCAACTAGGTTATAATGAAAGAAAATAATCAATTCAGTTTCAAGCATTTAGTGACCAGAATTAGGATACGGGAATTTTGTAATTTTTAGTTTTTTAAAACTATTATGTTTCTCACTTTCATAGCATATATTTAATTTAAGCAATGCCCCAAACACAAAAACTAATCTGTGCTTTTGAAATCTGTGTATCCATGGAAACAATGGAAAAACTTGCTTTCTTAATCTCTTTTGTTAGACTGAGATCTTATTTTGTCAGTAATAGATTCTGTAAATAGCAAGGACATGAATAGTAGTAGTTGTGAAGGTGAGAACAATCATAATAAGAGAAGCAAATTTCTATTTAGTATTTTCTTGGGCCAAGTACTCTGTTAAGTATGCTAAGTAATTTCCATAGAATCTTAGTTCTTTCTTACAGCAACCTACTATTCTTTTCATTTCTATGTGAGTAAAATGAGGCTTAGATTGGTTAACTTAGTTGTCCAATGCTGTACTGCTAGTAATAGGTAAAACAGAGCTTTGAACACACAGTTGAGTTTCAATGATTAACTTTTGTTAGATATTTGCATGATGTAAGTACATACTTTCAAAATATATGTATAAACTACAGTATATTTTGGCACTTTTTGAAATATAGTAAACCTACATCTCTGCTATAGCTGATGATACCGTAAGTCTAAAAATTGTGCAAAACATCTATAATTTTAATATATACGATGGGCTTTTATTACAGCTATTTTATGATTTCATCAATAGCTGAGCTGTTTCACTACAAACAGATTGGGTATCTTTGTGATTAAAGCAGCAGACTAAAGACCATGAAGGGTATACTGTTTGTTTTTCAATCAGTTCCTTGTGTTATGAATTCTCATCAGATGTTGGGAAATAGCAGGCTTAAACTAACTGCAAGTGCTACATCCAAGGTCCAAGAAACAATGATCTGTAATGAGCATGTGTTTAACCATCAGCTTGTTTAACAAGGCCTCTAAGCAAATTCATTTACCGTCATATTTAAGAAACTTACACATATTCCACTTATGTAGATTTAAGATTTCTTCAACAGCATGTCAAATACTCAGATCTTGATAATCTTTATCAATTTTTAAAATGTGAATATTAGAGAAGATCTGTGCTTGACTTCATCACCCTTACATTAAAATAATATTTCTCATGACGTAAGCAAAAATAATAGGTATAACTAAAAATTTTCCTAAGGCACATTCCTAGAAACTGGAGAAAATGAAAAGAGCATCTGGGAAAAAATGAAAACTGACTGACAGTTATGCAAGATACTTGACATTGCCATTTTAAATCCTCAATCTCATGTTCAAAAGTTGCTCAGTTAAAAAAAAAATTGCAGGATTTAAAAAAACTACTGTAATCAAGTAATATGAACAGTCTGATAAAAATTGTAAATATATTGGCACTGTAGTAATAAAAAGTTTCTTATGTAGTTATTTATAGTATCTCCTGTTGTATAGAATATATTCAACTTAAATCATTCTACTGGATATTTATTTAAAGAAAAAGAAATTGTTATATCAAAGGGATATCTATACCCCCTTGTTTATTGCAGGACTAGTCACAATAGCCATGCTGTGGAATTGACCTAGGAGTCCATCAATGAATGAGTGGAAAAAGAAACTGTGGTGTAAATACACAGTGAAATATTACTTGGCCATAAAAGGATAAAATCCTATCATTTGCAGCAACATGAATGGAACAAGAGGTCATTGTGTTAAGTGAAATAAGCCAGACACGGAAAGACAAATATTGTATTCTCAATCATATGCAGGAGCTGAAAAACTTGATCTCATGGAGGTAGAATGTAGAATGATAGATACCAGAGGCATCTGGGTTTGTGTGTTGTGGGGGATGAAAAGAGATTGGATAATAAGTAGAAACACAGAATAAGTTCCAATGCTCAATAGCAGAGGAGGGTGACTATAGTTAACAATAACGGATTGCATATTTCAAAATAGCTAGAAGGGAAGATTCAAAATGTACCCAACACATAGAAATGTTAAGCACTTGAGGTGATAGATATCCTTAATATCCTGACTTTACCATTACATATTCTATGCATGTAACAAAATACCACATGTAGCCGATAAGATATACAAATATTATAAATCAATAAAAATTGTAAATAAATAAAACATTTAACTTAAAGGTAAGATAATAGTCTAAAATTACTTTTCACTTAGTAGGTGATTAGCAGGTTAAGTGAAACTGCATACAGTAAAGAATTAAGATGTCCCCAGTCCCAGGTTCACAGAGCTGTGAGGTCTCTGCTGTTTCCTCTTGACATCAAGGAACAACCCTGTCATCAGAATCAAGCAAAAAATGGAAGCCCAAAGTGATCTGAAGCAATGGAGCCCCAGCTAAGGAAAGCGGAATCCATCTGACACCAAGCAGGAAGGTAAATACTACAGTGAGGAGGCTGAGGTGGATCTGCAGCACCCTGGCAGAGACGATGAGTTATACAAGACATCTGCCAGGAGCTACAGAGGCTGATGGCTGAGATCCAAGACCTGAAGAGCGGGGGTGGCAAGAATGTGGCAATTGAAATAGAAGAACAGAGGGTCCAGAGCTGTGTGCATTTCACGACTTTGAAAAAGCTTAACCGATTAGCCCACACCAGGTTGAAGAAAGGAAGAGATCAAACACACGAGGCTAAGCAGAAAGTGGATGCCTATCACCGGCAGCTCCAGAACCTGTTGTATGAGGTGATGCACCTACAGAAGGAGATCACCAAATGTTTGGAGTTTAAGTCAAAGCATGAAGAAATTGATTTGGTCAGTTTAGAGGAGTTTTATAAGGAGGCTCCACCAGATATCAGCAAGGCTGAAGTCACCGTGGGAGACCCTCACCAGCAAACACTGGCACATCTGGACTGGGAGCTGGAGCAATGTAAAAGGCTGGCAGAGAAGTACCGTGAATGCCTATCCAACAAGGAGAAGATCCTCAAGGAAACTGAGGTGAAGAAAGAGTCCCTGAGCAGCCTCCAGCTGTGCCTCAACAGCATCATGCAGGCTTCCCTTCCGGTGCAGGAGTACCTGTTTATGCCATCCGACCAGGCTCACAAGCAGGATGAGACAGCCAGGCACCTGCCGCCTCCCCTCTGTTTCCTCTTTGTTCAGGCCACTGCGTATGGGCAGGCCTGTGATGAGACTAAGTTATCTGTGGCAACTGAAGGCAGAGTGGACGAAGCCAAGGCTCTGTTCAAGCCTCCACAGGTCTCTCAAGATGACGAGAGTGACTCGGATGCTGAGGAGGAGCAGACCACAAAACGCTGGAGACCCACGCTGGGGGTTCAGTTGGATGACAAACACAAGGAGACGCAGACAAGTCACCCACTGTCCGTCATGCTTGACCTGAAGTGTAAAGATGACAGTGTGCTTCACCTGACTTTCTTCTACCTCATGAACCTGAATATCATGACAGTAAAAGCCAAAGTGACAACTGCCACGGAGCTGATCACCCCCATCAGTGCAGGTGACTTGCTGTCTCCTGACTCAGTCCTGAATTGCTTGTATCCTAGGGATCATGGAAAGAAAACTCCAAATCCAGCCAATCAGTATCAGTTTGATAAAGTCGGCATCCTGACTTTGAGCAACTATGTACTTGAGTTAGATCATTCCTTTTTGTGGGTACAGAAGCTGGATGGTCTCTACTTTCCCAAAGAGCAGCGCCAGCAAACAGTGATTTCTGGCCACTCACTGAGCACCAGCCACATGGAGACCACCATGAAACTTCGGAAGACCAGGGTGCAGTCCCACGTGACCCTCCACAAACAGTTTACATCCCTAGAGCATGGCATTGCACCAGTTACCAGTGATTGCCAGTACCTCTTCCCTGCCAATGTTGTCTCTTGCCTGGTGAAGTGGATGACAGTTGCCCATGAGGATTACATGGAGCTGCATTTTACCAAAGACATTGTGGAGGCGGGGCTGGCTGGGGACACCAATCTCTACTACATGGCAGTCATCGAAAGGGACAGAGCCACACTGCAGGCTACTGTGGTGTTGAACCCTGGCTACTCCTCCATCGCACCTATTTTTCAGCTCTGTTTGAACTGGAAAGGGGAGAAAACAAACAGCAACAATGACAACTTTCAGGCCATGGAGAGCGAAATCAATGTTTGCTGCAGGGAGCTGTGTGGCCCTTGGCCCAGCCACCAGCTGTTGACCAACCATCTGCAGCAGCTGTGTGTGCTGCTGGATGTTTACCTGGAGACTGAAAGCCATGACGACAGTGTGGAGGGGCCGAAGGAATTTCCGCAGGAGAATATGTGTCTGCGGCTCTTCAGGGGTCCTGGCAGGATGAAGCCGTTTAAATACAACCATCCTCAGGGATTCTTCAGCCATCGCTGACCTCCCACCCAGCCCGTTGTTTCCCCGAGGCCTCGCCCTGAGTACTGGGCTTTTGCTTACTGCTCTGGCCCACATATGACTCTTGATAGTCTCCAAAGACACCATCCGATTAAAAAGCATCACCTGAAAAAAAAAAAAGAATTAAGATGTCGGTGTCATGTTAAAATTCTATTATTGACTTGGATAATTTTGAAAAGTCTCTTGCTATTTCTGTACTTCAGTTTTTTTGTCTCTAGGATGAAGGTCAACATTCAGCATCTCACTACTTAGATGTGAATGAAAATAATTTAAGGAAATAATTTTAATTCATAATGGGCTTTAAAAGGCTAAAGCCAAAGGAATTAAAATAAAATGATCTGTGTGACATAACGTTTTATACTCATAATTTTGATTATGTATTTCAGAAATACTATTTTTTGCCTTACTTAGACTATTTTTCTAAGTAAAAATAGATGAGGAAACTGAGGCAAAGAAGGAGAACTATTTGCCTTTTAATGGACCAAATAATGATGTTGAATCTAGGTCTTTTGGTAAACACATTTCTTCCCACAACCCCCACCCAAATGCTTTGTCTAATCATTTGGAATGCTATAAGTTGACATTAGTTTTAAAAGGAAGAAAACAATTTATCCCTGGCATTAGAGTAGATATCTTTAGTATAATAATTAGTATCACTTTATCATTAATTTTCACAGTTTTAATTCTTTAAATTGCTAATGTAATTTAAAAGTCATGAGTTGGTTGTAGTATATTTTGAATATAAAAATAAATGCCTTCTAAGCACCTATTAGTCAGCACTGTCCTGGGTTACAGATAGAGAAGAAAAAAAAAAACACCTGCTTGTCTGCCTACTCATATTAATCCTAAATCTTTGTATCAGTTTTGCATATTACATATATTGAATACAGACACAATTTATAGATGTGAAAACTGAGGATTAATGAAGTTGACAACTTTCCCCAGAGCTATACTCAAATGCCACTTTCTCCATGAAGGCTTACAAGATGAGGAAGATTAGTGGACAGAAATAGGGGAAAAACAACATTTTAAGTAGCTGTAATGGCATGAACAAAGGACTATGTGTACTGAAGCTCAGTTTGCCAAGGTAATTATGACTAGTATGTTTTGACTGAAATTTAAGGTAACTATAGAAGATATGTGGGAGATAAAGTAGCTTTAAGTTAGGTCATGGTAGAGACTTAATTACCTAGGAAAGAAATTAGTACATAATTCAGTAGGATTTAGGGAGCTATGAAGATCAGGGGAGTAGAACTGCAGGATTTGGCATGTATGTTATAAAATGAATGGAAGAAAGGTCAGACAGAGGCATATAGACCAAGTAGAAGACTCTTGCAATGGTGAAGTCCTGATGGCCCAAACTAGATTGTTGTCACTAACCACAGAAAGAAAGAGACTTTATAAAGGAAAAAGGAAAGATGTAGTAAGTAAGGGAGTGATACTAGAAGGTGGGATCAGAAATAGAAAAGAGAGAAATTAGTTGGTGTTTGTTGAGGAGCCTGCATTATCAATCTGACTTTAAAAATGGTAAATTTGATACATTTGTGGTGTGTCTAGTGCAATTACTCATCTGACGATCAGAAACATTAATCTTGAGAATGAAAATGTGTAAAAAGCATAGACTAATAATATTGATTTTATATGTTGGCTGCATTAAGACAGAGGGAATTGAAGTCCTGAGTGTAGATGAAATTTATAGAGAGGAAAGAAGATTGAGAAGCATCTAATTTTGAAAAGCAAAAGGTAGAAAAGTGGAACCCATGGAATCAGGGAAAGAATATCAAAGAGGTAGGATAAGATCATAAGTGTCCTATGATCTCATGAGAACACTATGTCTGAGATAGGGGAGGGGCAAAGGGGGGTAAGATGTTCAACAAAGCTGGATTCTTTTCAGGGTCTAAGTTACAATCTAATAGGAAGCCATTGAAATTTGTGATTAGGAGGTCATAAGTTACTTTTGAGAGAGCCATTTAAGGAGTCTGTGGATTACTAGTAAGGTATTAAAATGGGTGGATAGTGGGTTAAATGAAGACACTAAGAGCAGTTGAGAAATTGGTTGCAAAAAAAAAGAAAAGCCCAAAGGTATAGAAAAATTGAAGGAAAATATTGTCACTACTCACAAATGCTTGGTATTTATACTTTATCCCAGATTCTTTTCCCAGCGCTATCTTTTATTACTAGTTACCTTGCCCACTTTAAATTATTTTATGCAATAGCCAAATACCTTCATGTTTTAGCATGCACCCTGTTTTTCCATCTCCCTGTCTTGGTTTAGACAGACTGCTTGGATGCCTCTTCATTCTGTCTGTAAATAGCTAATTCCTACTTACCTTTCAGGGCCCTGTTCACATGCTTCCTCTGTGAGACCATCCCTTATTTGTCCTGCAGTACTCTTTCCTTCACTGAATTTCAAAATGCTTCAGTCATTTATTTGTCATGGAAGTTGCTGCTTTTTATTATGTGCTGTTTTTATTATTGATGTACATGGCTTATATCCCTCCTTGGGATTTAGGCTCCTTGAAGACTTTCTCAAGATGTCCATGAAACGTAATAGAAAGAGCATAGACCTGGAGTTCAGATAGTTCCATTTCTAGTTTCTAGCTCTATCATTTAATCACTATGTGTCTTCAAGTGAGGTGTTTATTTGATCTTCATAAACCTTAGCCTTCTTACCTATATAATGACCATATCACAGTTCATTAAAAAGATTATTAAGTGATAGAGGAGATAACTGATTTAAAGAACCTAGCAAAGTAAGGTTCCCTTTCTTAATCATCTTGATTTCTGTGCCAGTACCCAGAATGTTACCATATAAATATTAGGTGTTCCAAAATTGCTAAATGAATTAGTAATTTCTTTGCCATTACTAAATATATAAAACTACTGTTATTTCTAGGCTGCTGGTATTTTATTTATTTATTTATTTATTTTTAAGAAATTCTTTTTTCCATTAGGGTTACTTATTGCAGATTTACTAGATAAAAAATATATGCAATACAGAAATATCTGGTGGATAAATGCTGATGTCATGCAAACTATATTAACATTCAAATGAAATGTAACTGTGAGGAAAACAATTAATGGCTTAGAGTTAGTAACAGTTTATAAAAGCCATTTCTTTTACCATTTAAGCAGATACTAGGCTTTGAGGAGGCCAAGACAGTGCTGCCTGGACTCTAAAGTAAGCTCATAGTTTGGCAGTATATGGTGACATATACTGCCAAACTTACAATTTTAGTTCTCATTTTAACATATTTAAATATATTCTGATGCCAGTGGATAGGATGATATTCAAGAGAATGTAAGATTGGGAATCCTAAAATTAGACTGTAATCTAAAGACTGATTTAAAAACTTACACTTCATTTCAAAAGTTACTACTAACAATTGGTGTTGCTTGAATAGTCTCAAAGATTTTGACAACATTGTAAATCTTCAATCACTTGAAAAAGTCAGCATAATGAAGCAATTTTTAATAATCTGTCATTGCTCAGTTTGTATATTATATGGCTACATCAATAGTATGTCTAAATCTTTGACTATTTAAAGATAGATTTTTAGAAGCCAGCATTATGCATTAATTGTCCTTTTAAAATGAACAGAGTTGGTTGCTATATACAGTAGAGATAACATTCATTTATGATAAATAATGTAATAAAGAACTATGCCCATATGACAGACAACTCTTAACAGTGGTACTATTTTAAATAGATGACCTAAATCATAATAGTTACCATTTGTTGAACATGTAAAGTGTGCTCAATATTTTACATACCTTATCCCTAACTTATAGTTGAATAAACTGAGTCTCAGAGAAGTTAAGTAGCTATTCTCAGGTCACCTGGCTAATAAGTGATAGAGTTGGCTTTTAAATCAGTTCTTTCTGAATCCAAAGTTAAGTCTTGTAATAGCTATGTTCTACTCCCTGTAAAGTAGTGTCTTAAACAGTATATACTTTCTTTGCCTCATTATTTGTATATGTCAAATTATTCTTATAACTAGTTTGCCTAGCCTAGAAATGCAACATTTCCTCTTCAACTCTCAAGATAATCTCTACCTCAAAGACCTTAGTCTTTGGAAAACATCATCTAAATGACTGAACTACATACCAAGTTGAAAACCATAAAATGCAGCATAATAAAAAGATAGGAATGTTTGGTGGAGTAAATGGAAGATATGTTTGCTGTTCCCTGTGCAGCAACTACCCAGTTACATTTTTATATCATGCTGAGTAAATATGGAATTTCTACAGTTGTGTTCATACAGCTTTAAGAAATAGGAAGTAATTGTACTTATCTGAGAATACGTAATGAGAGCCCAAACTGGGCATTGACGGTTAGAATCAAGAGGAGCTGTTATATGTGAGAGAGATTAGAAAATGATGTACCTCAACACTGATTCAATAAAAGAAAATGGAAGAGAGTCCAAGGGAAATTTAAATTCTGATCATTAGAAATATTATGGTTCCATGATCAAATAGAGACTCAAGGAAGATTGAACAAATGTGGGCAATAAGGAGAGGATTTCAGGTTTGGACATAAAGAATTTGTGATTATGTTGAGATGTCCAGCCTGCTGTTTCTCTAGAGTTGAGTCCTTGAAATGAGGCTAGTCTGAATTGAGATTTGCTATAAGTGTAAAATGCACACTGGATTTTAAAGACTTAGTACAAAAAGAGAGTGTAGAATATCACATTAATATTCTTTATATTGGTTGCATTTTAAAATGGTAATATTTTGGATGTATTAAGTACGTAAAAATTAATGTTTCCTTTTAGTTTTTAAATCTAGCTACTAGGAAACTTAAAATTTTATATGTATTAGTCTGTTCTCACACTACTTATAAAGACATACCCAAGACTGGGTAATTTATAAAGAAAAGAGGTTTAATTGACTCACAGTTCTGCATGGCCAGGGAGGCCTCAGGAAACTTACAATCATAGCCCAAGGCACCTCTTCACAGTGTGGCACGAGAGAGAATGATTGCCAGCAGGGGAAATACCAGACTCATAAAACCATCAGATCTCATGAGAACTCACTCACTATCATGAGAACCATATGAGAAAAACTGCCCCCATGATCCAATTATTTCCCACCGGGTCCCTCCTACAATACGGGGGTGTTATGGGAACTACAATTCAAAATGAGATTTGGGTGGGGATATAGCTAAACTATATCAGAATGTGTCTTACCTTAAATTTCTGAGTTAATCTACACAGAATTTATAAAAGATAAGAAATGGAGGACCATAATCAAGGCAAAACATTTAGATTTGGAAATAACCTATATAGGAGTGATAGTTGATGTTGAGATTAGACTAAAATGCCAGTATATAAAGAATACTGATGAGAAAAATGTCAACAATTATAATATGGGAAGAAAAAGAGTAACTAGGAGAATAATTGGAGATTTAAAATGCTAAAATGGTATCTAAGCCTGACTGGGATAGAATTCCAAGAAGAAAGGAGAAGGAAGGAGTAATTAACATCATTGAATGATAGAGGCCATAAAAGAAGAGGAGGAATGAGAAAAGGCCATTGAATTTGGTTGATATAGAAGCAGTTTCAGTGGAGTGTACAAGGGATAGATTGCAAGAATTTAAGAAGTTAGAGGTTGATAAAGCAGACTGTATATGTAAACTATTCTTTCAAGAATGAAGTCCATTTATGAAGATAATAATCACTTGATTTGAGCTGAGTCCAGAGAAATTTGAGCCTGTTTGTTTGCTGAATAAAAGGATCAATGAAGTGGAAGTGCTTGAAATTGCAAAAGAGTGAAGATCATTTCTATAATAATATCCTAAAGCATTGGATCCCAAACCTGAGTACATACTGGAATCATCTGGGGAATTTGTTACAAGGGCAAATTTCCAGGCAGCGTTCCACATCTAAAGTTACTATATTCCCTGGAGGTTTGTCTTCCCCAACATGTTGCTAGCAAGCTCTTCCAAGTGATTATGATATATCCATAGGACAAACAAGTCAAGGAAATTATGGGTGCTGATGAGGTCATCAGTGGAATGACTGGTCATAGCATCCAGTATGGATAGATAGCCAATTAGGGCTAGAATGGGGCTGATGGATCATGAATTACAGTTAAGCAATTGGCTTTCATTATTATGGGAGTACATGCAAGTTTAGTAGGAATGAAAGGCTGAAAAGTTAAAAAGGTAGTGGATTTTGATAACTGAGGGAAGTTTCAGAATTCAGGATCTTGGCGGCCAAGCAGATGCAAAGTGTGTCTGATGTGGAAAAAAGATGAAAAGAACTAAGTTATACATGTCATTAGGCCCAGCAGTTTGGTAACTCTAATACAAGGCAGTTGGTAAAAAGGTACAGTATAGGATATGGGATAAGGAAGAAGCACTAAAGGTTAAATCAGATATGTGATTATCTAGACTTCAGATTACACTAAACATTGGCTTGAATATCTTTGATAACCATTTTCAGAGTGGAGTGCCTGCTTGGGTTTATAGTTTTTGAGTTTCCATAATTTACTCTAGATGTTGTTGAAAATACAGTGGGTACATTCATAGATAATATATGCACAGTCTTGAGTAGTCACAAGTAACCCTAAGGGTTTATAATATGAGTAGTTAATAATTCTTTATGAGGCGTGAATTTGAATCTGCTGACCTAAAACTGGCATGGAGAAACAAGTCACTTAGGTAGTGTCTTGTAGTGAAGTCAACTTTTACTTCTAAGTTTGTGTTTAACACATGATTGTATTAATCATCAAACCTCATCCTGATGGATTTAACTACCAGCAAATTAAAAGGAAATTATATGCCAAACTATAGTATTAAATGAGTTAAAAACTTGGTTTTAAAAATCAAATGAGTTTTAAAAGTTTTTAGCATGACCCGTAGCATGTAATAATTACTTAATAAATGGTAGTTACTGGTACCAGTTCAGGAATTCTACCAGTTTTGAAGCCAATTTTTGTGTATGTCCATATTTAATAAGTAATATTTATATTAAAAATTTTTTTGGATCTACTATTTCCATAAATTATTAAACTAAAACTAGACCGTTAAATTTGTTTGTGAATTAGAAAGGTAATGGGTC